TTTTTTTTTAAAAAAAGGTGGTCTAGTTTCATTTCTTGCACATCTGATTTTCCCAACACCATTTATTCAATAGACCATCTTTATCACATTGTATGTTTTTGCCTCCTTTGTCAAATATTAATTGACTACAAAGGTATGGGCTTATTTCTGGGCTTTGTTCTTTTCTATTGATCTATTTGCCTGTTTTTATGCTAGTACCACATTGTTTTGATTACGATGGCTTTGTAGTATAAAATTATATCAGGTAGTGTGATTCCTCTAACTTTGTTCTTCTTTCTTGAGATTGCTGAAGCTATTTGGGGTCTTTTGTGGTTCCATATTCATTTTCGGAATATCCCAGTTTTGTGAAATATGCCATTGGTATGTTCATAGGGATTGTATTGAATATATAGATTGCTTTGGGTAGTATGGACATTTTAATGTTAATTCTTTCTATCCATGAGCACATTATATGCTTTCACTTACATCAATCTTCTTCAGTTTCTTTCCTCAGTGTCTTAGTTTTCAGAGTACAAGTCTTTTACATCTTCGGTTAATTTATACTTTTTGAAGCAATTGTGAATAGGACTGTTTTCTTAGTTCCACTTTCTGATAGTTTATTACTAGTGTTTAATGAAAAACCCACTGAATGGGAGACATATTCTCCCATGATACATCTGATAGGGGGTAATATAAAAAATTTTTAAAGAACTTGCAAAACTCAACACCAAATAACAAATAATGCAATTAAAAAATGGGCAGAGAACTTGAAAATACACTTCTCTAAAAGCAACATACAGACAGCCAATAAAACATAGGAAAAGATGTTCAATGTCACTAATCATCAGGGAGATACAAATTAAAATCTCAATGAGATATCACCACATACCTGTCAGAATGTCTATCACCAACAAATCAACAAACAAGTACTGGCAAGACTATGGAGAAAAGGGAACCCTGGTGCACTACTGGTGAAAATACAGACTGATGCTGCCACTGTGGAAAGCATTAAAAGAGGTATCTCAAAAAATGAAAAATGGAACTGCCTTATGATCCAGTGATACCACTTCTGGGGACATATCTGAAGAAATCCCAAACACTGATTCAAAAAGAAAATATGCACCTCTATGTTTATTGTAACCTTATTTACAATCACCAAGATTTGGAAGCAGTCTAAGTACCCATCTGTATTGGAGTGGATAAAGAAGCTGTTGTATGTCTACACAGTGGAATACTATGCAGCAAAAAAAAAAAAAAAAAAAAAAAAAAAAGAGGAACCCTTTGCAATAGCATGGATGGACCTGGAGGGCATTATGTTGAAATAAACCAGTCATATAAAAACAAGTACCATATGATTTTGTTCACCTAATAGACAAAAATGAATAAAAGCAAAATGGAGACAGACCCATAGACAGAGAGCAGGCTGCACGTTGGGGGCGAGGAGGGATGGTTGAGGGGCTGGGAGTATGGAGGGACTGAGAAAAGAGAAAACTCATGGACACAGATGGCAGTGTGATGACTGCCTGGGAGAGGGTGTGGGAGGAGGCAGTAGAGGGTAAAGGGGGGATAAATGGTGATGGTCAGAGACTTGACTTGAGGTGGTGAACACACAACAGAGTACAGATGATGTGTTGTGTAAATGTGTACCTAAAACCTGTATAATTTTGTTAACCAAAGTCATCCCATGAACTCAGTAAGAAAGAAAAAAAGAAATGACTTTTTTTCCAGTACTATGAATTAGGACAAGTTTCAATACCAATGAAGAGAGAATAGGGGGAAATGGCCAGGATGCCAGTCACTTGAGATAAAATGTATTCTGTCATTTCTTTAAAAGGCAAAATGACATGAGTTTCTTAAGACAGTTTCACAGCCAGTAGGGAACCACACATCCTTCTCTGCCCTAGAGTTACTTCAGGAAAATCCCTGAGAGTTGTTGGCACAGGAGCCTGTGGAACATGCTCCACTGAGCAGGCAGGTGGGGGCAGCACTCAAAGCCCAGGGGAATCAGTGGGGTCACCTCCCACCAGCATCACCCCCTGCCCCTCCTTTGTGAGGCTGCCTCTGCAGTTAAATGCTTCTCTTCACACCAGCCCACCCACTGTCTTCACTTTCCAGTGAATAGACTTCTTAATTGAACTGAATGTACCACCTCAATTTTTCTTCTAATTTTTGTGTTTATTGTTTCTAAAGACACAAGACACAGCAGGCAGACTAAAAGGCCTAATATAATCAGACAGAAAGTTCACATCTATGACCTAAAACCTTCCCTCAAGCCCATAATGTGCACCCTTTTTACCAGGAGGGAAGGGTCCCTGCAGCTCTCAGTGCAGGGCTCAGGGGCTCCCACAGCGTCCTCCCTGCAGCCCCAGAGTTGGGGCCGCTGCACCTGCCTACAGCAGACCCATGACAGCTCCTCATCTAGCTCTTTTGGTGGAAGAGGGAAGTGGGGTGAAGAAAAACCAAGCGCAGGATGAGACAGAGGAGTGGAGGTTCAGAAGTTATTAAGAAAATGCCCATGAAACAGATGCCCTCAGGGGAAGCCAGACGTGGTTTTGTTTGTCATCTCCAAATGCTGCATCCAATATGCTGCAGCGATGCCCAAACATTGTCAAGCACGGCCTGGCCCCCAGCCCTCAGCCCCCAAAGGGGCCCTCCTGGCACACACACACCTCCCCCCCGCCACCTCCCCCCCCCGAAATTGGGCTCGCTGGCTCTGCACCAACTGCCGTGGAAGACCCACTTCACAGAATGACTCGATGAACACTTGTAGAAAAAAAAAAAAAGCTGAATTGGGGGTACTCTTGCATCTTTTTCTCCCCCCAAATTTAACTCATTTCTCCGTATGCTTGGGCTTCACCACACACAGAGGGACCTCGCCTCTAACAGGAAACGTGATTGACATCCAGCAGATCATCTCTGGGGAAAGCCAAGTTCCATGGCTGGAGGGGGCCAGCCCCAGGAGGAAGCCCCGCCCCTTGGCCCTCTCTGCTAGGCCCCCTGCTGAGGTCCTCACTTCCTCCCCAGAGTGCGAGGCCCTGACTCACTAGCCCTCACACACAGTTGACTGTAGGTAAGCCGCGCACAGAGCACTCATGCGTCCGCTGCAGGGTTCTCTGTGGACGGGCGCTCTCGGCTGCTCCACCACCTTCAGAACTGACAGATGAATCCCCACACCTCCCTTAAAGCCGCTCTGTGCTCAGCTTCAACGGCACCCTGGGGCCCAGAGGAGCCCACTCAGCCACAGCAGAGTGGTGTTGGGGAGTGTTGCTGGGCGAGGGAGTCCCAGACCCCTACAGCCCGAGCCAATGCTCTGTCCCCTCTCAGGGCTCTAGTCCCCTCTCAGGGCTCGCTCCGCAGCCTTCCCAGGTCAGGGTTCTCAGTTCAGAGCCACGAGGGCTGCACATTCTGGAAGTGATTGGGAACCTGCCCCACTTGGTAGCTGCAGCTAAATAGCAGCACGCTGTGTCATTACAAAAACTAAGTTAGACCAGGAGGAAAAGTGACAAATCATGTATATTTAAATTGCCCCATAGCAAAGATGAATACTTTTTTCCCCAAAAGGAAAGGCCTAAGCCTCAGAAGTCCATGTCTGGGCAGACACACAGAAAACAGACCCCAGGCACGCAGTCTTCTGTGCCCCGGCGCAAGTGTGTGACCGACAAACTGGTCAGTCCAAAGTAGAGTGGGCCTCACAGGGCCTGACAGCTGTAAGCTGACTTCAGGGCACTGGGGCAACTTGGGGCACCAAGTTGGGAAGATGCAACTGTAAAACCTCATTCAACAAATAAACTGGTAAAGAGAAAGGAAAGCTGACAGAGAGAAGCTGTGCACTAAGGCGCTTCCCCAGACACAATGCCCGGCCTCATGCTCCAAGTTCAAGTGCACAGCACACTTCCCAGGAGGACAACAGTCCACTGGTGCACTGGCTTCCTGTTGGGTGACACCAGGGTATTACTTTTTATTTTTTTAAAGTGAGTATGGTGTGACATTGGTTTTTAAAAACAGTTCTTATCTTTTAAATAGGAACACTGAAATATTTAGAAAATGTCTATTTATTTGCTTTAAAATTACTAAAAAGGGGGAAAAGCCATTGTATTATCCAGCAAGAACATAAGAAGACAAATTAAAAGTATTTCTATGGGTTGCAGGCCGGTCCCCTGCAGGCCAGTTCCCAGCAGGGGATGCACGAAAGGCAACCACACATTGATGTTTCTCTCCCTCTCTCCTTCCCTTCCCCTCCTAAGATAAATAAATAAAATCTTAAAACAAACAAACAAACAAACAATAACAACAAAAATAAATAAAAGTATTTCTATCAAATATTATTTAGATTTCAACATCTTAGGCACGAAGTAGCAAGTCTCCTCAGAATAGGAGAAAGTACTCAGTAGAGTACTTTCAGAGAACAGTGACAGAGTAAATGCCCTCAACTGGATGCACACACAGCACATGTGTACACAAAGCATGCAACTTCATAGCACATACACCACACATGCACACACCAAACACATGCACAAGACTCACAGCAGACATATATACATATGCACACCACACACATGCACACCCACACACAACATACACACTGGCTCAGCAACATGTACACACACACATAGACATGATGCACAGGCTCAGCACACATGTACACAAATGTATAGGCTCACAACACACAAGTATAAATATACACCAATTCACAGCATATGTATCCTGCACATGCATGTACAGAAGTAGCACACAGAACTCACACATACAGAATCACTGCAGACACACACAGTCCACATGCATGTACATTAGTGCACATACACATACATGGCTGTGCATGTCTGCATGCACAGAGCACAAGGACTCGGGATGGGTACAGCCTTTCCCTCCCTTCTCCTGCTGCAGGGTGAAGAGCACACTGGGAGGTGCCCCAGCTGCTCTTGTGGGTAAGAGGCAAGCACAACCCTGGAAGAGTTGTTTCTAGGCAGGAAAGAAAACGCGGTCACCTGCAAGGGAGGGTACAACCCCCAAACACACATTACCTGTCTCAGTTCCTGGGTGTCTTCCTCAGAAATGAGCGGCTCTCTTGTCTGCAGCTGCAGTGGCCCGCCTTCTTGGCTCCCAGAGGAGGACTCTTGTGGCCCGACGCAGTCCATCAGCCCAGATGCTACAATGAAGGCAAACAGCAGCTATACCTTCCATAACTTGCACACAATGCAAAAACACTCCTGACTTGACCAAGCTCATGTCCACTCTCTGGGCCAACAAAACTTCCTCACCAGCTTCTTTCCACTTGCACTCTCAGCTTCCTGGCCTTCGTCCTGAAGCTCCGCTAAACAGAGTGGCTATGGGGCCCACCCAACCCCAGTCCCACTGGCTTCCTTACCCCACCTTGATCCCAGGAAACACTGCCAATACTGAGGCTCTCAGAAGAAAGGTCCTAACCAAGAGTGGTCATTTTCTTTATGAGAAAAGACTATAGATTTGGAGTTTAAAACAGGGCAGGTTGAACCCCCATGAACCCTACAGGATTCTGCAGGTCTGGAAAGCAGAGGGATGGCCAACTGGCTGGCCAACTTGCTGGCCAAGCACAGGGGATTGTGGAGCCAAGAGGACAGGCACTGCTCAGAACACGTTTCCGCTCACACAGCACCTGCCTGGGTAATGTCCCCAAGGAGCAGAAGGGCAGCCTGGTCAGAGTGCTCACAGCCTCTCCCACAGTATGTCACCCGTCCTTTATTTAAAGAACTGACTCTCTACCCGCACCTTGGCATGTCAGGCCCAGATAAGAAATCAACTGGAGCTTGCTGCTGGCCCCTCTGCACAGACCACTGCAGGGTGGAGCATGACTACTAGTCAGGATGCTGGGGAGGACAGAGGGCGGCAGAGGTGCCCTGATCCGAGACCCAGCACCAGCTCCTCTGAGTGGCCTTCTCTGCTCCAGGAAATGGGGAATGTGGGACACAGCAGGGCAACAGGTGACCCCAGTGGCAGCCAGCAGAGCCACCCTTCGTCAGAGTGGCCTGGAGCAGCTGCTAAGGAAAGGAGAGGAGAAGCGAATCTGTTGGGGTAAGGCTCTCACTGAGCCAGAAGGGCTGGAGCCCAGCTGGTGTTTAGGACACACTGACTGTGCCAGCCCCTCCGCACCGGAGGTCAGCCACCCCCAACATGTACACAAACACCCCCACTATTCCCATTTCTTACAATAATTCTTATAAATAACACTCCCTGAGAGTGCCTGGCCTCGTCCAGGACAAATGTAGGTTGGAATGAGGACAGGAAGAAGGTTTCTCAGGGTCCCAGGAGCAAAAGGGTTCTGCAAAGTGGAGTTGGCTCAGGAAGCAAAAGAGGAGCAAGTTTGCTGCAGGCAGGGCCCTGGCCCTCCCTGTGCAGGGGACAAGAGCATCCCACACAGAGTTGCCACATTCACACCACATCTCCAGGTCTGAAAAAATCTCATAAGACAAAACATGCATTAAAATGTCTGCGGTTCTAGTCCATTCTTTAGAAAGCACTCATTGAAATCCCTCTAATCTAATGTCATAGCTTGTGTTCTAGACTTGCTGAGGCCCCACCTGCTCCAGCACCCAGGGCTGCTCAGGAACACAGTGCTGTTGGTCCAGCATGGTCTGAAGTGCTGCTCACTGGGAGGTCACTTTTCTAAAGCGTGCCCACAGCAGAGCACCTTCAGGGCCAGGTGAAAGCTAGCACAGCACAACAGAGGCAGTGTCCTCCTAGTTGTGACTAACTTAAAGGAGAGGCCACCTGACGTGTGATGTTAAAGCGTTATCAGTGATGATACGAAGGCAAAGTGCATGTCACCAGCCTAAGACAACAGCAGTTTCAGCCCAAGGGATGAGGAGCACCTCACTCAGCAGGCTGGCCCTACCCACTGCCCCACCCAGCTGCGCCTATCTGGCAGAGCGCTGTCCCCCAGTGCTCTGAATGGCAGCACGTCCTGCAATCCGGGCCTTTCCACCAGCAGTGATATGGGTATCATTATGTTTGCACACCTTTTAATGAACTTGCTTGGAACTACCCCTGCTGTTTACTTTTTCAGCCTCTTCCCCTGCTAGGATCTCCTGACTAGCTCCTGTGAGCACAGGTCCCATGCACACACACTGTGCAGGGCTGTGCTCTGGCACCTGCAGCCACACTACTGAGAGAAGCTTACTCTTTCTGAACATTTAACCAAAGGGTATTGACCAGAAAGCCAAAATGGAGGATGTTTCTTCCTGGAATATACTAAGGCAGGGATGTTTTTCAGGACAAGCTATAGGTTCGGTGGAACCCCACCCAGCCCAAGGCTTTGGCCACCCCTGGTGCTCCGTGTTGACAATGGAGTGGCTGACTCAGCTACCTCAATGCTTTGAAATATCTTCCGAGAAAAATTAATTTGGTTCAGTATAAGATGGTTTTTGTCTCTAAAGTCATTAATTATCTCTGTTAACCAAAATAAGCACACACTGTTCAAGCTACAAGGGAACTTACAGATGGTTCACTTTCCAGGAAGGAGGAGACATCAAGGGACCTGGTTGGGCTGTGGAGGCAGCACCAGAAGGCAAGTGTGAGGCAAGATTTCCTCGAGCTGGGTGAGTGGGTGGCTAATACATCTTAAATCACTCCGTCAGGGGAGGACTCTCTTAGAAGGCGAGTAAACACTAAAGACAAAAAATCAGTGCCAAAACCCTTAATAGTGCCAGGCGTGAATCCCGCTTTAATGGAGATGGGTCAGTGGGCCTCCTCCCAGACCCGCCACCCCACCACCATGAGACAACCTGGGAGCATGCCACTGCTGCTGAAAACCAGCAAGGCCACCAAAGCAAGGACAGCTGAGCGACTGACAATGTCAGAAAGGGTCCAAGGAGATGCAATGCCAAAGTGTCACGTGAGATCCTAGAAGAGTAAACTGTGAGACAATCTGGATAAAATATAGACCTTATGAGAATAGTAACATATCCATAGAAATTCACTAGTTATGAGAATGAATGACACTTATGTCAGGTGACAATAAGAGGGGACACATGAGAACTCTAAACTATCCTTGCAACTTTTTCTGCTAGTCTGACACTATTCTAAAACTTCAAAGATTATTTAAAAGATGCTATGCAGAAAAACAGCAATTTGCAACAGTTCTTCCCCAAGGTGAAATCTCCCATCTGTACTGTGCCCAGCCTTCACAACATAGTACCTCAGAGGTCTCTCTGGAAGGTTCTTCTAGGTACCCGCCCAAGGCAAACATGTATCTCCTGTTACTAGACTGCCACCTTCTGGCCATATATTTCACCCAAACAGCTCATCCAGGAGAGAAAGACATCTCCGAGCTGTGAGTCAATATGCCCGTCCTCCACTGCACACAGTCTCCAATGTGGACCAGTAAGGCAGAGGTGATGGCAGATATGATGCAGAGGCCATGGTGAGATGCTGGCTCCCCTTGCTAGGGTTTGGAGAAGACACTGAGAAATTCCCAGACAGTCAGGTACCATCTTGCTCACCGAACTCAGCATGTTGGCTTCTTCCAAACACACCACTCCTAGTCACCAGAGCCTCTCTAAACCTGCAGCTGCTGGTGCATCGACACGATGAGGCGGGGTGGCCTCACGAAGGGTGGATGGCCTGTCCCACTCGGTGCAGATGCAGATCCCCACAGGGACCCCACCCAGAGGCTAGTGAGCCCCAAATTGAAAGCCCAAGTGTCAGCTCATTCCACAAACATTTGACCCAGCACTGAGACAGGCCAGGCCACAGTGCTTCAGTCCAACCTTAATTCCCGTGTTGCTGGCAAGGTATTGGATGGAGAAGGCCTAGCACTGCTGACTTGAAGTAAGGGATACATCCTAGACAATGTGGTGGACCTGGTGCAGTCAGCTGAAAGGCCTTCAAAGCAATCTGTGGCTTCCCAGAGGAAGAGGACATCTGGCTGGGGTCAGCAGCCTTAGCCAGCCCTTCCTGAAGCAGACCCTGGGAACTCACACTCACCCCTCTGCCTGTGCATGCAAAAGCCCCACACTCACTTCCAGCTCCTCCCCAGCCTGTCTGCCACCTGGGCACCAGCCAGGGTCAGAGCCTGCTTTCCACCCTTCCATGGTACCTGACAGCAAACCCAGCCATTCCATGTAGCGTGGCCTTGTGCCACATATGGCATGCTCACATCTGCCACCTCATTCCCTATGTTCTATGCCGTGTTCTCTCGGAAACCATCATGCCTAACTAACTCACTAACATGCAGAAACTCTGTGAAAAGGAGGGCTGTGGGTTTATTTTTTTCCCCAAGACTGTGGGTGCCTGGCACCATGCCTGGCACTACGGGGTTCTCCGTCAGTGCCGGTGGAAGTGGTGGCTGACAGCACTGTGTGTGGTCCATCGGACCAGGACCTTGCCCTCCTCCCCTGAGGCCCCTCCCAGGGGAAAACACAGTGGGGTGACTCAGTCAAAACTGGGACATTACAGCAGCTGGCCAGCTGGGTTTATACATGGTCTTGCCTGAAGGGCCCTCTGCTCAGGGTCTTCAGGCAAGGTCACATACATGGTCAAGGCCTCCCTGGTCCTTTCATGGGCCAGCTTCTGAGTCTTGCCTTGCGTGAGGGGCCAAAGAAAAACCAGAAATGCCAAGAAAGTAAGTTTTTAAATCCAGTTTGTACACTAACATTCTAACATTCTGGATCTTATGAGACTAGATCTGTTATCAAAGATATTTCTTTTTGAAACTTGAAGCCACCTAGAATAATATAAACATATTCATATGTTAGAGAATAGGTCACATATTAGAATTAAAATCAATCACTTCAGAGAAAAAAAGAAAAGGAACCAGAATTGTAACAAACAACATCTCTCTTACTTTAACAGACATCCAGGAATCAAAGCTAACCAGAAAAGACTATTATTGCTTGTAAAAAAAAAAAAAATCACATTAAGTACTGAAGTAATAGTACCTATAATTCTAATATTAGAAAATATCAGAATATTTTATGACTTTGGGATTTCTTAAACAGGGCTCAAAAAACAAAGTTAAAGGGGAAAATGGTGGGCCTGACCACAGCAAAAGTACGGACTTCTGCAATGGAGGCTGATGGTCTGGGAGAGCACTGGCCTCCCAGGTCAATACAGGTGAGGAACTCCTGCAAATCAGACATACAACAAATGGGAAAAGAACCCAAAGAACCTGAACAGTCAATCCACAGAGAAAAAACACATAGGGCTAAAAAGCAAATAAGTATTCGATGCTCTGTCTCACAATCAATTAAAGAAATTGAAATAAAAACACCATCAAGATGCCACAGAACACCTCTCAGAATGGCAAAGCTGGGAAGTCAGACGACGTGAAATTGTCCCACGCTAGAGAGGAGGCGGGAACCCGCGAACCTGGAGATGTGTAGACGTGTGACGCGTCTGCATGTCTGGCCTCCCACTGGAGCCCACCGGCCACCCCGGCTACACTCTGCACATCCCACAGACCTGCAGGAGGACACCGCAGGCACACTGCCAGGGGAAGCCAGGCTTTCTGAGTTCCTCACGGATGCCACTTAAACCACACATGACACTGCAGTTTGCGAAGATTCTCCACCTGAACACACATCTGGAAGGTGGTCTGGGAAGACCTCAATCAAATGTGAAGGCAAACAGGAGTGAGGCTGAGTCAGGGTGGGAGGAATGGAGACAAAACAGAGCAGGTAGGGCTGGTGCCAGTTAAGATCCTGAAGTACTGGTTATCAACCCAGATGGAGGAGAGTGAAAACTCCTAACTCAGACTTTCCCTTTGTTCTGAAAGGGTCACCCAAACCCTTTCAGACCTATTTGGGAAATGAAATCACTTGAGATTCACAGTTGGCAAGTACTAAGGAAAATGGTATGAAGTTATTTGGATTTGCAAAGAAGTGGAAAGTTGCCGGGGGGCTGGAACCAGCAGCTACTCCCAGGGAAGCACCAGGTTAAGAGTGCACCGGGGCCGCCTGGGTATGTCTGGGATGCCGGAGGTCTGGGCGCAGGCTGTGCTCGCACTCACTCACCTGCCTGCCAGACCGAGTGGCCCTTCTCTGCTGGGGAAGAGGTTCCAGGGCTTCTGAGCATCATGGCATCTTCTAAAAATTTGATCTTCTTGCTGAACTGCATTTCCAAAATGCGGATCGCCTCTGGCATCCTGGCAGATATCAAACGAAAAGCTACGTCTGGCTTCCCGATGAACCTCTGGCGGATGCTAACTTCGTAATGTGTGTGAACCTTAATGTCATCTACATCTTCTCTCTCAAATCTGTGTATAAGTGAAGAATCTGAGTCATGGATTTCTAATCCAGAAACAAGGATGGTGAGTCTTCCTGGTTTAACATGAGATTCTGTTCTCTGGGAAATAACAACAGGAATTCTGATCACTACCCCTTCCTTTCCAAGAGCTTTGGAACCAGCCGTTGAGGAGCCTTCCCTGGGCTCTGTGTCAGATGGCATCTTCCAAAACTTGAAGCTAAAGGGCCACCAAGAAGGAGATTCCAGTTCTGTCAGCAGCCTGAAAGATCAAACAAAACACAAAATACTGGGTCAGTCAAGTTGTAATACCCTTTTTAAAATGTGGCCTTTATATTAGAAAGCACTTTACTATTTTACAGTTTTCTTTTGTACAAGTACTCCATGAAGCAGAAAGAGAAGGAAGGATTAGCCCATGGTTTAGGAAAAGACACCTAAGGCTAAAAGCAGCAGGGCCTGTGCCTACAGATACAAACCTCGTAATGCAGTGGACACACAACCGAAATACACATCTTCTGACTAGAATGTCACTCTTACCACACATGACTCTGGGTAATTCTGATTCGAAATAAATCCTGATCTTAATCTCTAGAGAGCAAATATGACTTTGGCAGTGATCTGTATCATCCAATATGGCACATATGGCTGCTGGACACCTGAAATGTGACTGATGTAATAAGAAACTGAACAGCACGGCTCTAACGTAACCACTACTAACACCATCAGATAGATCTAAAAGTCAGTAACAGGAAAAAAGTAGAAGCAGGGCTGGAAAAATAAAGAAACAAGGATCAAACAAAATAAACAGAAAATAAATAAATAAGATGATGGAATTAAACACAACCATATTAGTAATCATCCTAAATAAAAATAGACTAAATTTTCTAGTTAAAAAGCAGATAGTCAGCCAGAGTAAAGAAATAAGACTCAGCTATAACTTGTTTACAAGAGACACTGAGGATTATAAGGACACAGATACATCAAAAGCAAAGGGATTGGAAAGAAGACATATCATGCCAGAAGTAAACTTTTAATACAGGTGTTACCAGGAATAAAGAGGAACATGAGTAACAACAAGAGGGTCAATACATCGGAGGCTTCACAACACCAACTAGATATGCTCTAACAACGGAACTTCAAAATTCACTGAGCAGGAATGTATGTAACTAAAAAAGAAGAAACAGATGGCCACAGCTGTACATTTCAACAAACTTTCTCTACGGTTGAAACAGCAAGAAGACAAAAATAATGAGAAAGAATACAGAAACTTTGAGCAACACTATTTAACCAGCTCGACCTGATTGGTATTTATAGAAACAGCATCCAACTGCTGAATGCATTCTTTTCAAGTTATTCAGAACATTAAAAAAAAAAAAGAATATAACAAACCTCAATGAATTTCAAGTATTGAAATCAGAGTATTCTTTGTCCTCAAAGAAATGAAACCAGAAGTCAGTAACAAAGCTAACTAGAAAATTCTCAAATATTTGGAAGTTAAACAATTCTAAATAAAGGATATCAAAATACATGAAGTAAATGAAACTGAATACATAATACACAAAAAATGATGGACTACAAACAGAGCAGTCACGAGAGGGAAATTTACTGTTCTCAATGAATGTATCTGAAGACTTTTTGGAAAGGTTTAAAAATCAGCGATCTAAGTTTGTATCTTAAAATGTTATAAATTAAACCCAAAGTAGAAGGTAAAGTTGAAAGCAAAAAATAAAAAATATTAACAAAGCCACAAGTTAGTTCTTCAGGCTACATTTCTTGCCCTGGCTGGTGTGGCTCAGTGGATTGAGTGCTGGCCTGGGAACCAAAGGGTTGCCAGTTCAAATCCCAGTCAGGGCACATGCCTGGGTTGCAGGCCAAGTCCCCAGTAGGGGGGCGTGTGAGAGGTAATCACACTTTGCTGTTTCTCTCCTCTTTTTCCCTCCCTTTCCCTAAAAATGAATACATAAAATCTTTTAAAAAATAAAATAAAAGGAGCTGGCAATAGAGGGGGGAAAACTATGGCTAAGGTTGCTTCACTGATAAATTCTGTAAACATATAAAGAAATAACAATTGTACACCAACTCTTTCAAAAATTAGAGCCAAGAGTACCGTAAATGCTTTGACCATTCAGTTCACAAAGCACTCTAACTGCTATTCCAAAACCCAGTAAGGACAATATAAGAAAATAAGAACACGGCAATATCTTTCAGTAACACAGATGCAGAATTCCTTATGAAAATGTTAGTAAATCAAATCTAACAATATAGTGGTACCTCAGTACTCATCGTTAATTCATTCCAGAACTTGTGGTGAGTGCCAAATCCAACAAGTATCGAAGGACAAAGCATTTTCTCTTGAGGGGCAGCGTCATGACTCACACAAGTTCTAGTAGCAAGTGTGATGAGTCCCAAGCAAGCGTCAAGTGCTGAAAACACTTTTTTCTCATCAAAATGTAACAAGAACAGGGTTTGACGAGTTCTGAAGCCAGCAAGTACCGAGGCATGACTGTATATAGAAAATATTATATCATGCTTTTAAATGGTATTGATCCCAGGAGACTGCGGTTGGTTTAACGTTTGAAAATTAATCAATGTATCTCACTGGTAGAAAAATAGAAGGAAAACTGTACAAGTGTCACAAAAGATGTAGAAAAAGAATCAGACAAAATTCAACATTCACTCATGTTAAAACTTCCAGCAAGCTGGAAATAGAAAGAATTTCCTCAATCTGAGAAAAGACCTACCTTATAAAAAACTTACAAGTAACTGCACCCCTAAGGTTGAAAACATCAATATCTCCCCTCTAAGATCAGAAACAAAGTTTCAAAAAAAAGGTGGGGGCAGATTTTGAAACTACGTGAATTTTGAAAGCATTCTAGAAGTCCCACACAGACCTGAGGCAGAGTCTTCTCAGCACAGGGTGTTTCAGTACAGCTTCTGGCTAACGGGCAGCTGACCGCTTAGCTACGCTGACGCAGGAAGAGCCCATAGGTGCCAAGCCAAGCTTAAAAATTAAAACAATTACAAACAAAAACAAAAAGGCTGAGCAGATGACAAATGTTGTACACACAGTGGAGATACACTCTGCCAAATTAGTCTGGGCAACTTCCAAAAAACGACCAAACAAAAACTATCACCAACAGCACCACACTGTGGTGAGAACAGACATCAGAATCCAGACTTGCAACTATATTTTTTTAAATGCCAAGTTTTCTAACAAAAAAGTAAGATATACAAGGAAACCGCAATGTGACCTATACACAGGAAACAAACAAACAAACAAATCAAATGGGAATCCTCAAATTAAAAAGTTATAATAATCCAACAATGAAAGTTCAGAAACAGATGGCTTTATTGGTAAATTCTACCAAACATTTAAAGAAGAATCAAAACCAATTATTATCAAAATTTACCAAAATTTAAGAAAAGAAGGCACTTTCCAATACATTTTTTAGGCCAGCATTACCCTGACACTAAAATAAGACAAGGACACCATAGGAAAACAAATGTATAAACAAATATTCCAGATGAGCAAAGATGCAAAAACCTCAGCAAAATATTAGCAAACCAAATTTAACAGTATGTTAAAAGGATCACACGCCATGACCAAGTCAGACTTATTCCAGCATGCAAGGTTAGTTTGACATCTAAAAACCAAGCAAGCATGTGATATACCATATTAACAAAATTAAGGATAAAAATCATATGACCATCTCGATAGATGTAGAAAAGCATTTGACAAACTCCCAACAAAGTGGACATAGAGGGAACATACTTCACCATAATAAAGGCCATACACGACAAACCCACAGCTAACATCATAGGCAACTGTGAAAAGCTGAAAGCTTTCCCTCTAAGACCAGGAACAAGACAGGTATGATGTACAGGAAACCACTTTTATTCAATATAGTGTTGGAAGTCCTGGCCAGCCACAGCAATCAAACAAGAAAAAGAAACAAAGGGCCCTGGATAGTGTAGCTCAGTGGACTGAGCGTGGGCTACAAATCAAACAGTCGCTGATTTCATTCCCAGTCAGGGCACATGCCTGGGTTGTGGGCCAGGTCACCCATAGGGGGCATGTGGGAGGCAACCACACATTAATGTCTCTCTCCCTCTCTTTCTCCTTCCCCTCCCTGTCTCTAAAAATAAATAAATAAAATCTTAGGAAAAAAAGAAATGAAAAACATCTAGCCCTGGCTCAGTGGCTCACTTGGTTGGAGCATCATCCTGTAAACTGAAAGGTTGCAGGTTTAATCCCTGGTTGGGGCACGTGCAGGAGGCAACCAATTGATGTTTCTCTCTCTCTCTCTCTCCCTTCCTCTCTAAAAGCAGTGAAAAAATGTCCTCAGGTAGGGGTGGGGGTGGGGGTAATAAAGAACATCCAAATTGGAAAAGGACAAAGTAAAATTGTCTCTATCTGCAGGTGAAATGATACTACATATAGAACCATAAAAACTTTACCCAAAAACTGCTAAATAAGCAATTTCAGTAAAGTTGCAAGATACAAAATTAATATATAAAACCCGGTTGCTTCTGCACACTAAAAATAAGCTATCAGAATAAAATTAAGAAAATCCCAATGACAATGGAATGAAAAAGAATAAAATACATATGAATAAATTTAAGCAAGGAAGTGAAAGGCTTACACAGTGAAAACCATGAGACATCGAAGAGAGAAACTGAAGACACAAACAAATGGAAAAAATACAGTAGTCCCCATTATCCAGTTTCCTTTTTGCAGTTTGTTACCCATGGTCGACTTCGATCAGAAAATATTAAATGAAAAATTCCAGAAATAAAAAATCCGTAAGTTTTAAACTGTGCTCCATTCTGAGTAGTGTCATGAAATCTCAAGCCACCTTCACACAGGGACATCATCCCTTTATCCAGCACACCCACGCTGCACATGCTACCTACCTGCACTTAGCCGCCGTCGTGAGGTCTTCAGATCGACTGGCATGGTACTGCAGTGCTTGTGTTCCAGTCACCCTTATTTTACCCAAAACTGGCCCAAAGGAGCAGTAATGTTGACAATGTGGATATACCAAAGAGAAGGCATAAGTACTTCCTTTAAGTAAAAAGGTGAAAAATTTTGACTCAATAATTATCAAGTACTTAGTCAAGATGGAAAAGATTAACTTTGTGGGTGGAAGACAAGAATAGAAAACAAGACTGAAGACAACGTGTTGCACCAGAAAGCACTGAGCCACGGAGCCTACATATGAAGACTTCAGCAAGGGATCCTCTCACATGAGTGACTTCAAG